TTAACGTAAGTTAATAGCATTTGTTTTTTTCTTTATTTGATTCGCGCTGGTAAGCAATTCACGTCTTACTTTTGTGTTATTTTTTATTTTTTGTTCTTTACGTGGCCATTTTGAATTCGATATCTGTTGATCGCTGTCATTTTTATATATTAAATTAACTGTTTATTAAAATTTCGTTGATTTTGTCTAATGAACTCCTTGATAAACATGTGTTTGTTGTTAGAAAGAGCATATGGACTACGAAGCAGTGATGTGTGCTCGGGAAGAAATGGTGAACGTTTTGGCTGAATGCGACGAGTCCTTTGCAGAACAAGTGTTATCACTGCCAACTTTCAGAGATGTACAGCCTGATCTCGTAATTGACGCTATACGAAATTGCACGATTCATAGAAAGATAGTGCCAGTGCTCTGTGGCAGTTCTTTTCAGAACAAAGGCGTTCAGCCATTGATATCTGCCGTCTGCCATTTCCTTCCAAGTCCTGACGAGCGTCAGTATGAATTTCTGCGATATTTCAAGGATCATTTCTGTGGTCTTGCTTTCAAGTGTATTCATGACCATTATAAGGGATGCCTCACGTTTGTTAGGATATACGGAGGGACATTGCTGCCTGGTAAAGCAATTTTCAATATCAACCGAAACTTATCTGAGACGATATCCAAGTTGTACCTGGCTCAAGGGGACAGAATGCGAGAAGTTCCGAAAGCAGTTGCTGGAGATATTGTTGTGCTGCCAGGTCTGAAATGTACTGTTACCGGGGATACGTTAGTGGATAGTTTAGACACTGCACGAAAAGCTAACCGAATCTACCTGGAGGCTCTCAAGCGAAAAGAAATCAGTACGTATTTGTTTCTTCGTCATGACCCGTGTGTTTCAGATTTCGCTACGTTCTTTTAAGTCTAACGTAATTCAGTCGAACGTGACCTTTCATTTAATAATTTATATAAATGACAATATTTCGACTGCAAACAATTTTAACCTTCAGCTGATCTTACACAATCAATGTTTTGTTAGATCTGCTGACGATTAACAAAGAGATTCAAAGCATTATCTTTTATACTAATGGTTTATATTGATTGAGTTGGTTTATTAAATCTGTTATAGCAGTATTTGATAAGGTGTTCTCGATTAATTAAAAGAACAGCCACTTTCATTAACATATTAAACAATTTTATGCCAGCTTATTCGTGATTCTAAGATTTTACCTTGAATAAAAATATCAGATGTGGCGTCATTATACTGTTTGCAGTGGCGATATCGTTGCAGCGAACCTGATTGAAAGTAATTTGAGATGGAGGAGCGGTTTCTCTTTGCAGAGTTTTAAGACAGATTTTAGTAGGTCTTTCTCTGGTAGTTCATTAGAACAACCATCTTTTATTATAGATATCTTGTGATGCAACGGACCGTTTTGTGATTACTAATTAATGATATTTAATGGTCTGTTTTGGTCTTGTTCTAGTAGATATTACGCAAAAAACTCACCTTATTACCTTGATGACCTATATAAGTTTTAAGTCTGTTCTTGATTCTGAGTAAATAATTAAAAATCTGAAATTTCTTAACCTTATTAATTTCACCGTTTTTGTTCTTTCTT